GTCATAAGGTTATATGAAGGCCTTGACTGAGAGTAACTTTGAAGATTTTTTAAAAGTTTCACTTAATGTCTACGCTTGTACTGGGAATGCTTTCAAAATATTCTGCTTTCTTCCTAATCTGGGTTGTATTATGGACAGTCAGATAATTCTGTTCCAACACTCACGAAAATACCGTGCTTTTCAACTATTTCCAGAGAAGCATCTATCTTAGTCTATGCTGCCAAAAGGACTGGATCTTGGGATAACTTCAAGACTAACAGACTTTATGATAGCTTATATTCCTATGGACCACATCAGGAGTTTTCAAACTGTGGGTTGGGACAGGAGCACTTGGGACAGGAAGTGATCACAGATTTGCACAAGCAAAGTAAAAGGCGCTGTCAAAACTCACTCCTGGCTTTGCTCCTCATTTTGCTTGTGTAAATCTTGCAATGGGCGTTTTTTGTAATGCAGAATCCCTTACCTCATCCTAATTCCACAGAAATGCCTTGGATGTTTAATATATCATTTTCCCCTATGTTTTTATTCTTTAGTCCACCCTTTTCAGTTTATTTATTTATTATTTATTAAATTAATCCGCTGCCCATTTTACCTAAAGGCGACCCTAGGCAGCTTACGATCAACAATTTTAGTTGTTCTAGAGAAGGTCTTCCCGCTCATTCAAGAACTGAAGGAAAATATTAGGGAGAGACCTTTATTTAGAGGAGGAGGAGGAGGAGGAAGCACATCACTTGCAGCCAGTCTGAATTCTTACAGCATAGACCAGTGATGGCTAATCTTTTTGTCATTGTGTGCCAAAAGCGCATGCACCTGCCTGCACCCATAATGCAATGCACGCGTGACCCCCACGCACCCTGCCTCCCACGCATGCGCATGTGACCCTGCCTGCGTTCCCCCCACCCACCCCCGCACATGCGCATGTGACTCCCCCCGCGCCCCATTTTGGGCCTAGTAGGCCTCTCTGCAGCCTCCTAGGACCAAAAACGGACTGCGGGTGGGGTGCAGGCCAGTTTTTGGTTCCAGGAGGCTGTAGGGAGGCATGCATGTATGAACCCCCCCCACACACACACACCGGGCATGCGCACACGTCTCCTGCATATGCCCTGCCCTCTGCACATGCGCGGCAGAGACCCGAAAATCAGCTGGCCGGCGAGAGGCACGCACGCATGCGGGGTGGAGCTGAGCTGGGTGACAGCTCATGTGCCCGCAGAGAGGGCTGTGCGTGCCACAGGTTCGCCATCATGGGCATAGACCCTTGACCCAAGGATAAGAATATAAAACTAGCCCTGCTGGACCAGGCCAAGATCCATCTTAATCCAGGATTTTTGTTCCCTAGAGTAACCAACCAGGTGCCATTCAGAAACATCCATCTCTCACCATTGCTCCCCTGCAACTGCTGGATTGATGACAGACTACAATTTCTCCCCGCTTGCTCTCTGCTCTTCATCCATTCGTCTTTTTGTTATCATGTTGATGTATTTTCATAGAGTTCTTTTTCATGATTTATTTTATTGTTCTATTACTTTACTTCTGTTTTCATCTCTTCCTTTTTATTGTTGTAAGCTACCTTGAGTAGACCCAAGGCAATATAGATGGCAAAAATATTTAACAAATAAATTAAATAAATAAACTGATACTTGGACACATGCTGGAACTAGAATTCTAGGAAGAAGCCAAGGGAAGTCAGTCAAATGTTTTTAAGAAGACCTAATATCAAAACCAGCTTCTACAGCTCTGAGGGTGAAGCCAATTTTTACTTCTGCTCACTTGCAGCATTTTTACCTAGGATAACTAGGGAACGTCATTGCTTGGCCATGGCCTACAACTGTCATTTAGTCTGAATAAATGACACAAAAGATTAAACAAACAATAGTGATATTAATCTTGTTTATTAGAGCTGTGGTGGCACAGTAGTTAGAGTACAGTACTGCAGGCTACTTTTGCTGCCTGCCGGCTGCCTGCAATTTGGCAGTTGGAATCTCACCAGGCTCAAGGTTGACTCAGCCTTCCATCCTTCCAAGGTTGGTAAAATGAGGACCCAGATTGTTGGGGCCAATATGCTAACTCTGTAAACCAGGGGTGGGTTCTACTTACCTTTACTATCGGTTTGCAACGGGAGTGCGTGTGCACAGAAGCTTCTGCGCATGCGCAGATCGTCCATGATGACGTCTGGGTGGGTGGGCGGAGCCTCCCGCCGCTTTTACTACCGGTTCGCAAGAACCGGACCGAACCGGGAGCAACCCACCACTGCTGTAAACTGCTTAGAGAGAGCAGTGAAGTACTGTGAAGTGGTATATAAGTTTAAGTGCTATTGCTCTTGTTATCATAATGGCCCTAAGAAAGAGGACTTACATAGACTAATTGCAGGAGACTCAGCATCAGTGGTGAAATCTAAAATTTGTTACTACCGGTTCTGTGGGCGTGACTTTGGGGGGGGGTGTAATGTGACTGGGTGGGCATGGCCAATTTTTTTTTTTTTTTACTTTTAAAACCATTTTTTCTACAACCTCTTCGGCGAAGAGGTTGTAAAAAAATGCTTTCAAAAAGCTCTGACGATCCCAGCTGAGTTGCCTGATCGTCAGAGGGTTTTTTAAAAACCCTCTGCCGATCAGGCAACTCATCTTGAATCGTCAAAGGCATTTAAAAGAAAAAAAGCCTCTGATGATCACGTGGCTCAGCTGGGGGAGGCAGGGATTTTTGCTACCTGTTCTCCGAACCACCCGCTTCCATTGCTACCAGATCGGGTGATCCGGTCCGAACATGTCACCCCTGCTCAGCACACTTAAGCCAGCCTCATACTTCTTGACATAATAGACAGTAGAATTCATTAGTAAAGGTGTAGGATTGACGGGCAATTAATTAGATAAATTTAATTAATTAGATAAATTTTTAAAAGGTTTAGGGAAAAGTGACTTAATAGAAAGTCCACATTCTGAGAGATAGCAGGTGCCTAAATATTAGACCCTGAATTCTGATGTCCAGAGAAAGACTTAGCTCTCACTGATTGCTGGAAAGCTCCCAAAACTATTAGGCTGTAGAACGTGCAAACAGAAACATAAAGGCATGAAATTGCTCATACTATGTCAAGAGTGAGTAGAGGGTAGATTGAAATCTAACATACGTTTTCAGGATGCTCTACTGTAGATCAGCAAGATTGTGTGATTTTCAGCACAAAAGCAACAACAAGGGGAGTTTTCTTTCTAAAATTAGATGAATGACTGAAAGCCAGAAATGAGTAGGTTACAAAAAGATAGAATTCAAGTTCTGAAAATTTAGGCTTATATTCAAGGGCATTCCGATGGCAACCTTGTGTCTGTAGGTACCAATGCACCTCTAACAATTCCCCTGAGGCTGTCTTGGTTCTTTGAGTCACTCTGACCATTGTTTCTATAAAAACACTTATTACTGAATGGAAAGATAGCATGGCGTAAGGCCTTTTTATACAAGAATGCTCAGTGGCGCACATAAGCCTCTAGGCAATATTAGGAGTTTAAAATAGTGGGTGGCTGTGACCCAATGCTTTGTTTAGAACTGGGCTCAGCTGCCGAGAGGAATAAGGTAAGATGGGTGAATAAGGAAGCATCTGGAGCAGCATGCCCTAAACTTTCCGGCTTTGCGGATCAGTGGGGAGGGGGAAGTGGATGGTTCCACGCAGTGGTGAAATACAATTTTTTTTACTACCGGTTCTGTGGGGCGTGGCTTGGTGGGCGTGGTGTGGCTTGGTGGGTGTGGCTTGGTGGGTATGGCAGGGGAAGGATACTGCAAAATCTCCATTCCTATCCCACTTCAGGGGAAGGATATTGCAAAATCTCCATTCCCATCCCACTCTGGAGCCAGCCAGAGGTGGTATTTGCCGGTTCTCTGAACTACTCAAAATTTCACCTACTGGTTCTCCAAACTCCTCAAAATTTCTATTACCGGTTCTCCAGAACCTGCTGGATTTCACCCCTGGTTCACACATGCACTCGCCCTCCAATTTTGTGGCTTGGTTCTCAGTGGGACGTGGTCCAGTACTGGGCCGAGGCACGGAGATTGGGAACCCCTGATCTGGAGGATTCAGAAAGTACTTTCTCTGCTGCCTATGTCCACTAGGACAGTTCTATGTCCACCATCCCTGACAGATTGTGACCACAAGCCATAAAACACTCTCTAAATTCCAGGTTTGACTCCAAATATGGATCAAAACCTCCCTTGACAATATTTGTTTGCAATTTTTAAAAAAATAGAAACATCCTTGATAAGCAAGCAGGCTTTAACTGTCAGTTCAAAGAGCCTTGGTAGTACAGTGGTCTAAGGCACCCTGTTATTAAGCTGGTTATTAAGACCAGCTGCCTGCAATTACTGCAGGTTCGAATCTCGCCAAGGCTCAAGGTTGACTCAGCCTTCCATCCTTTCTAAGGTAGGTAAATTGAGGACCCAGTTGTGGGGGCAATAAGATAACTTTGTATAAATATACAAAAGGATGAAGGCTATTGCTGAGCACATTGTAAGCCGCCCTGAATCTCCGGAGAAGGGCGGCATATAAATCAAATTAAAAAAAAAAATGTTGGGATAGTTGCTGGATGTTTTTGTTGTTCTTATGCATTTTAGTTGCACCTGAATACTTTTAAAAAAGTTACATTATAATATTAGAAAATTACAATAATTAATATATTTTTATTGCTGTTCGTCTCTTGGGTACCATATATTTATATCCCAAAGAAGCTGTCAAGCTTGGAATCACATTATTGTATGTGTCTAAATACCACCTGTGTCATGATAATAGCAATAGCACTTAGACTTATATTCTGCTTCACAGTGCTTTACAGCCCTCTCTAATGTTGAAAGTGCTGTTTGGTTTTACCTCAGCTGCTTTAGTATTATCTTGTTATGATGGTTTTATTTTATTTTTATTCCATGTTAGCTGCCCACAGTTATGTTTGCAATGGGCAGCTGTATAAACCGAACCCATAAACAGATAAATGAAGTCTGAGAAAAGTACTGTAAAAGGCTGAACTCACCCTATAATATCTCTCACTTCTTGCTAGCTCTTCCTCTGAATGTTGCCATTGCTTTGTGCTTTTGCATTTCATCTGAGATAGGCCACTCAGGCTGTGACGCCTACCCAGAGACAGCTGATGGATTTTCATCTTGGCAGAAAGGTGGTTGCGGCAGGACAATAGATTTGTGTGGGAAGACGATGGGGATGGCTGCACCCAAAGATCCTCCAGAGAATGAGACATTTCCAAGCATGCTGAAAGGAAGAAACGTAGAATCAGCAAGGATAATTCTTGCCTTTCCTCACACATTCTACAGTCAGGTCCAGAAATATTGGGACATCGACACAATTCTAAGATCTTTGGCTCTATACACCACCTCAATGGAGTTGGAATGAAACAAACACAATGTGCGTTAACTGCAGACTGTCAACTTTAATTTGAGGGTATGTACATCCAACTCAGGTGAACGGTGTAGGATTTACAGCAGTTTGTATATGTGCCTCCCACTTGTTAAGGGACCAAAAGTAATGGGACAATTGGCTTCTCAGCTGTTCCATGGCCAGGTGTGTGATATTCCCTCATTACCCCAAGTACAATGTGCAGATAAAAGGCCCAGAGTTCATTTCAAGTGTGCTATTTGCATTTGGAATCTGTTGCTGTCAACTCTCAAGATGAGATCCAAAGAGCTGTCACTATCAGTGAAGCAAGCCATCATTAGGCTGAAGAAACAAAACAAACCCATCAGAGAGCTAGCAAGAACATTAGGCGTGGCCAAAACAACTGTTTGAAACATTCTCAAAAAGAAGGAATGCACCAGTGAGCTCAGCAACACCAAAAGATCTGGGAGACCACGGAAAACAAGTGTGGTGGATGACCAAAGAATTCTTTCCCTGGTGAAGAAAACACCCTTCACAACAGTTGGCCAGATCAAGAACACTCTCCAGGAGGTAGGTGTAAGTGTGTCAAAGTCAACAATCAAGAGAAGACTTCACCAGAGTGAATACAGAGGGTTCACCACAAGATGTAAACCATTGGTGAGCCTCAAAAACAGGAAGGCCAGATTAGAGTTTGCTAAACAACATCTAACAAAGCCTTCACAGTTCTGGAACAAGATCCTATGGACAAATGAGACCAAGATCAACTTGTACCAGAGTGATGGGAAGAGAAGAGTATGGAGAAGGAAAGGAATTGCTCATGATCCTAAGCATACCACCTCATCAGTGAAACATGGTGGTGGTAGTGTCATGGTGTGGGCATGTATGGCTGCCAATGGAACTGGTTCTCTTGTATTTATTGATGATGTGACTGCTGACAAAAGCAGCAGGATGAATTCTGAAGTGTTTCGGGCAATATTATCTGCTCACATTCAGCCAAATGCTGCAGAACTCATTGGACGGCGCTTCACAGTGCAGATAGACAATGACCCAAAGCATACTGCAAAAACAACCAAAGAGTTTTTGAAGGGACAGAAGTGGAATGTTATGCAATGGCCAAGTCTGACCTGAATCCCATTGAGCATGCATTTCACTTGCTGAAGACAAAACTGAAGGGAAAATGACCCAAGAACAAGCAGGAACTGAAGACAGTTGCAGTAGAGGCCTGGCAGAGCATCACCAGGGATGAAACCCAGTGTCTGGTGATGTCTATGCGTTCCAGACTTCAGGCTGTGATTGACTGCAAAGGATTTGCAACCAAGTATTAAGAAGGGAAAGTTTGATATATGCTTATTATTCTGTCCCATTACTTTTGGTCCCTTAACAAGTGGGAGGCACATATGCAAACTGCTATAAGTCCTACACCGTTCACCTGAGTTGGATGTACATACCCTCAAATTAAAGCTGACAGTCTGTAGTTAACACACATTGTGTTTGTTTCATTCCAACTCCATTGTGGTGGTATAGAGCCAAAGATGTTAGAATTGTGTTGATGTCCCAATATTTCTGGACCTGACTGTATGTTCAGTGAAGCTTTTGGTTCAACAAGGGTTGATCCAAATTAAGGAGAAATTTCCTGATCATGAGGAAAATTACTTTTGGGTTTTGCCTACTGTTGTTTTAATTTTATATTGACTCCTACTATTGGGAATGTCTGCAATGAAAAGTAAAGAGAGACTCTGGGTCTGAAATAATACCTGACTTCTGGGCAGAGATGAGATTCACTTATCCTCCCTACTGGTTCGCAAATGTGAGTGTGCGTGCAGGGATGCTCGTTACGCTCGCGTGCGCCACCTTCCATACATGCTCGGCCTTCCGCACATGCTCTTTGCTCATGTGCGCGCCTTCCACGCATGTGCCCAGCCTTGAAAACATGGCAAAATAGGACGTCATTACATCCAGATGGGTGGGCGGGGGCTCCCACAATTGCTGCTACCGGTTTGCCCAAATCAGACAGAAACGGCTGAACTCCACCTCTGCTTCTGGGGACTACATCCAAGGTGTATAGCAGCATTGCAAATATAGCTAGTCATAGACTTTTCCTATAATGGGTCTTTTCCTTTCCAGTCCATCCGATAGTCATAGTCAAAATCCAAGGGGAACTAAGCCCTACCAGGCTTAACTTTCAAGTTCAGGAAAGGCTAGGCAAGTCTTTTTGAGACTTCCAGTAGAAACAGAATATGAAACCTCTGTGCTAAAGGTCTTCTCTACTTAGATTTGCTTAGATCTACATCATAGTCCTTGAAGCAATCCCTTTGTCAGCGTTCCAAATTATGATTTCCTCCAGTGCTGACATGAATGAGAGAGGGAGAAGCTTTGCTTTAATGCTGAGATGAACTTTTACCTAGTTTCCTGCTCTTCAGTAGATAGCGTTACTTGGGTGACAGAGGGAGGGGGGAATTCCTGTGAAAAGAAAGTGCTTGGGACGAAGAGATGGATCTGCACGATGGCCAATGAGACATTGGGGTTGAAGAAAGGAAAGGGAGGGGTTTGGAAGGAGGTGCCAGTTTTGGCTGCACAAAGAGTTCAGGGATGTCGTTCTTTCTATTCTTAAATAAAAAAAAGATTCATTAGAGACCTTGCGTTTGAGAATGAAGTTTATTTAAGATAGCAGCGAAACCTGACACCCTTTCTGTTTCTAAGCTTCTGAGGGTCCAGCCCATTGACATAGGTTTGCTGCTTCTGATTTTTCAGTGTCAGCAGGAATCTTTAGGAATCAGTGGCACTGTGAAATTTTAAAGATGTTTGGTCCTTTTCTAACTTACCCTCTCATTTGTCAGGTTTCTTTAGCCAACAACCTTTCTATTTATTGTCCAGGAATTCTCTTTGTCACTGTCACTACTGACTAAGTGCCACAGGACGGCCATCATCTTTATTGGTCTACTTTCCCTCCAAATTGTGTCCTGGACCAGTCACACAGCACTACTGTCAAGGGTATAATGACACAGTACTTAGTTTCATAAATATTCGTACGAGGGGTGGGCATTCTTTTAGGACTGGGGACAATACCTCTCTTTTGAGAGGGATGCATACTCAGTGTCTTGGGAAAATAGGTGAAGTTGTTATACAGATGGACAACACTACAGTTTTCTGTTTTCTTAAGTTTCGGAGTGTAGGAAGTTAGCACCCACCCCTCTCCTGGAAGAGTGAAATATTTTAGAAAATATGAAAAAGGCAGAAATATGAGAAGCATATTTTACAGACAAAGCAGCTCCCACCTTCCTGCCCCCCACCCTTTGTCAATGGGCCATTAAGGCCTGGGCCAGTCTACTCTACATAACAAAGATCTACCTCCTTCAGGCAGAGCCATAGTAGGAATTGCCAAAAATGGGATTAGCCCTCTACACAATAGCAGCAGAAACTCACCACATGTGACCTGGGAAGCACATGTGACCATCAGCCAGCAAGGCCCCCACCCCCTGGGAGTCTGACAAACAATCAGGATACTCTTTCGGGGCCCCAAGAAATGCAGAGCCAGAGAGAGCATAAAAACCCGAGGATTTACTGTATCTCCCTTTTCTGTTCAGGAACTCAAGCCATGTGATCCTGTCCACCATTAAACCATCTTTCCAAGCAGTCTCCATGTTTCCAGTGTCTGTTTTCCCCACTTGGAGCAGAACCTAGAAGGATGTTTCTTCCAACAGGAGTAGGAATGTGATTTTTCCCCTTTGTTTTTAGAAATTGTGTTAACCAGGGGTAACCAAATTTCCAAAAGGAAAAATACACTAAGGCTACTAGATCTTGGCTTCAAAAATCTATACAACCACTAGATGGCAACAGACCTGCCCACAAAATTATAACTCTTTGCTGCCATCTGGTGCTGTTTCGGTTTCTTGCAGTTCAAGCATGCTTGTTCACTTGTGGATATCTGAGTTGCAGTGAGTGACAAATACTGGTCATTTTCTATGCTTTACTTGACTGATCTGGAGTGGTATGGCATTTTTCCTCTGAAACCAGGATATCTGAGCCCCTAAATACACTGCATTTTTTATGCATGTTTCCACCCCAAAATTATGGGAATGTCCATCCAATGTTCAGCTATTGTGGTTGTGGGGATTCCAGAGATAGAATAAAGTTGTTTGAGAGTTCCAACTCCTAGAGTTCAAGTTGCCCAACCCTGGTTTAATCCCTTGAACTTCAAAAAACAACTCACCTGGACCTCCATCCTTTTCTGAATGGATGCCAGGATGGAAGAAGACATTTTGCTGTAGGCTTGCTCTTTCATCATAGGTCACTTCAGCCACATAGGATGCTGGGACAAAGATGGGCCTCTTCTGCTTGGGCTGGCCGAACCGCTTCACCTGCCACCAATCCTCATTGGCCTTGTGCACAAGATGAAAGATCTCCCCTTCCGCGATAATCACCTGCCTTCCATCTTCAGATTTGTACTGATAGTCATAGAGAGCCTGCAGCACCACACTGCCTGGAGAATCCAGAGAAGATTCGCTTTGGGGGTGATTGAACCCTTCCAAGAACCGCCTCCGACTTGAAAACATCTTGCCAAGTCAGGTTGATCTGAAAGAGCCGGGAACTCTGGGCCTCAGCATGCTAACTTTTCACCTGTGATGAAAATAATTGCGGCACTAAATTTAGATGTGGTGAAAATGTAACTGATGTACAATGCCAGTAAACTAAATGCCTTAGACATTGTGACTTGTTAGGTCTGAGGATATTATTCAAAATTTTCTAAATTGTGGATTATTTAGTAGGTAAAATACTACTAGACAATACTGATTTGTGTAAGTTTGGACTACTAAAAATAAGAAGCATACTGAAAGAGTAAATTTTTCCTCTATAATCCAATGTAATATCTTGTGATGGTAACTCAAAAAATAGCTGAGGATGAATCTCATTTTCCCAGGAAGAAAAAGGATAGAAAACCTTAGTTAAATACAGATAGTCCTCCACTTATGATCACAATTGAGCCCAAAATTTATGTTGCTGTGAGAAATTTGTTAAGTGAGTTTTGCCCCATTTTACGACTTTTCTTGCCACATTTGTTAAATGAATCACTGCCCTTGTTAAATTAGTAACTCAGTTCTTAAGTGAATCTGGCTTCCCCCATTGACTTTGCTTGTCAGAAGGTTGCAAAAAGTGATCTCATGACCCTGGGACACTGCAACCGTCATAAATGTGAATCGGTTGCCAAGCATCCGGATTTTGATCACGTGACCAATGCTTCAATGGTCATAAATGTGGAAAATAGACGTAAGTCACTATATTCACTGCTGTTGTAACTTTGAACAGTCACTAAATGAACTGTTGTGAGTCAAGGACTACATGAATTGCAAACTTAGACTGACTTTCTTGATTTATTGCTACAAAAACTATCTGTGGTAGAGTCAGTTTGAGTTAGTGATTAAGGTGCTGGCTTGGAAACCAGGACACTGGGAGTTCTAGGCTTCTGAGGCATGAAAACTAGCTGAGTGATTTGGGGCCAATCATTCTCAGCCCAACCCATTTTACAGAGTTGGGGTTAGGTGAAGTTTTATGAATGTGAAGAATAAACTGTCAGGCATTTGGCATCTTTTTAATGAAGAAAAAAAAATTAATGGTGCAGAAAGTGCTAGACTATGAAAGGAAAATAATACTCAGAAGAAAGTAGAGCCAGAAAGAGTTAGTAATTCTATAACCAAGAAAGGAGTAGCTACATCTATCTTCAGCCTCAAAAGAGCTTCCAACTATTGGACTCTTTTCTCAGACATTGCATGCAGTGGTGAAATCCATTTTTTTTTACTACCGGTTCTGTGGGCATGGCAGGGAAAGGATACTGCAAAATCTCCATTCCCACCCCATTCTGGGGCCTTTGCCGGTTGCCCAAACTACTCAAAATTTCCGCTACCGGTTCTCCAGAACTTGTCAGAATTTTTCAGAACCTCAATATTCCTGTATCCATGGATCAAGTGAAGTCACAAATGACTTTTCAGGAGAGCCATCGGGTTAGGAAAACAATCACAGTATATATATATATATATATACCTATGGGTTAATTCTTTCCTCTCCCACTTCTGAAGAATCTAAGTCACCAGAAGCACCCAAGTAGCTGTTGTAACAGGAAGCAACAATGTGCTTGCATCTTCTTGCAAAGAATGAACACACAGTCATATTAAGCAGAAATGGTTCCCGGTGGAATTTGCTTGTGAAACAGAATCAGCTGGGAGAGAAAGCAAAGCTGTCTTCACCCAGCCCGCTGGGAGTCCCTAATCTTGTTCTTGAAAGCATCTCTCAGAGTCTTTTTGCCCTCCAAGGCAAAGCTTATACTGACCCAGAAATTACCCTCAATGCAGCAGATCATCTTCAGAACCAGGGAGCGAACAACTCTGTAAAGATCACCCTATCCTCTGTATGAGGGGCCATTCCACATATGAATGATCAACTTTTGTGATCAAGGTAGGTAGGTAGGGATTTCACACTTACAGACCAGGAGTGAAATCCAGCAGGTTCTGACAGGTTCTGGAGAACTGGTAGCGGAAATTTTGAGTAGTTCGGAGAATCAGCAAATACCAGCTCTGGCTGGCCCCAGAGTGGGGTGGGAATGGAGATTTTGAAATATCGTTCCCCTGCCACGCCCACCAAACCACGCCCACCAAGCCACACCACACCCACCAAGCCACGCCCACAGAACTAGTAGTAAAAAAATTGGAATTTCCCCACTGTTACAGTCACAAGAACTCATATGATATACAGGGATGCCACATTTAAAAGAGTTTATATAACAATCAGATGGGAATAAGAGTGCTGTAGAAATGAAAAACAAATATTTAAAGTAAAAATAACTCATTCTATAAAATGTTTTTGACTAAAAGAACAAAAAAAAAAAAAGAAAAAGAAAAAAGGCTGGTGTGATGAATTGGCCAAGCTGAACTTTAATCTCTTTGCTGTCCTTCTTTCTGGGCCTTTAGATTATTGTCCCAAAGTTCAGCTCTAGCTATACCATTAAAGAAACAGGTTGAAAAAGCCAGGGAGCTTCAAAATACTGTCTACTGTGGTAGCATTCGATTTGCTTCCAGGATGTGGTAACCTTGGCCAGTTACTGAAAGTGGATGTAAAATGGAATTCAGAGATGATCGTGTGGCTAGTTACCCTTATGTCATTTCTCAGAAGAAACATGTCTGTCTTGTTGCATTAAAGTGCAGGAGAAAAGAAAGCCATAATCTAACAAATTATATATGGGTTCCATGTTTGAAAGCAAAGGTACTACTCAGAACTCTTGAGCTTTCACTTCAACATTTTTCCTAAATAATTTTTTCCCCAATCAATGCACAGCATTGTCTCTACACTGTTCTTCTCCAGTCCTGATTGTCATTAGGGAGATGCAACACAAGATCATGCTGGCAGACTTCAGGTCTGACAGCTAATTGAAATACCCTTTACTGTCTCACCACTAGCCCCCCAAAATTGTCCTGAAACATGTTGGGAACTTCAAATGATGATCTCTCTTCTTCCAACACTTCTCCCTGCAATAAACAATACTTATTCATCTGGATTGAGAAGCTCAGGAGACAATGATTCCCACTCTCAACACCATTGATTGACACCACTATAACATGCTTTACCTGCAGTGATGGGTTGCCCCCGGTCGAACTGGTTCTATAGAACTGGTAGTGAAACTGGAGGGAGACTCCGCCCACTGACCCCGTCATCAGAACGCTTCACTTGCGTGAGCAGCCCCATTACAAACCGGTAGTAAAGGTAAATAGAACCTACCCCCTGTTTACCTAGGTCGGTCTTTGAAGATGCCTCAGGAGCTACAATTGATATAAAATGCCTCAGTCAAAATGTCTACAGATGAAAGCAGTTATTTTAGCATAATATTAATTCTCTGGATGCCCCAATGGTAAGGTGACCAGACGTCCCGCTTTTGGCGGGACAGTCCCGCTTTTGAGCAATTTGTCCCGCGTCCCGCGGCGTTTTAAAAAAGTCCCGATTTTTCATTCTGCTCCTGATTCCCGGCTGCCTCCTGAATCCCCGCTGATGGCTAGAGGGAAAAAAAAGTCTTTAAACTCTTGCCGCGGGGCTTCAAAGGGCCGACCTACAGCTGATCAGTGTTAAAAAAAAAATGAATAGACCCATGTCTGCAAAAATAGAAAAAACAGCCCCTGTTAACAGCTTCCGCTAGGTTAATTAGCTGCAAAAAGCTGCAAAAAGTTCCTGGAACAGATTTTTCCCCCCCTAGCTATACTGAAAACAAAGGCGAAAGCAAAACTAAACCTGCAAGGTGACAAAATGAGGCAGAGAGAGATTTCTTTCTTTTTCTTTTTCTTTTTCCTCACCAAAAAAGGTAGGTACAAAACTGCAAACAATGGGAAATTTTGGACAAAAGAGGAGAGTTCAAGATTTTAAAACACAAAAGAAAAAAAGCTCTATTTAACTAGGGAATTGTAATAATTGAGATACTATTAATAATTGTATATTGTGTTGAAAGCAGAAATGGTTAAGTTGTGGTTTGGAGGAATATATGGGGGAAATTATTTGGTTTATTATTATTGGTAAATATAATTAATTGATTTGTAAGAAATTGGATTGCATGGAAATAATTGGAATATTCATGTTCATATTGATTAATATACAAAAAAGATAGTTATATAACTAATTGATTTATATTAAAATGTTGAATTTGTATTAAACAACTGTATTACATAATTTCATAATTAACCAATGTGAGGATGGATATAAAAATAGATGACAATGGGAAGGGGTATAATATAGAATAGAAGGGAAAAATTGAATTTGATTAAGATTAGAGATGAGGATGAAGGGTAATATTGTTTTTTTTAAAAAATAGATGAGGAATAAATATGGCAAAAAGGAAATATAGAAATTGTAAATTTAATTGAAATGACTAAACGCTGTTTAAATTTGTGAACCAGCCAAATATTCTGTTCAAAGAAAATACATGGTATGTTTGTATGTGTGTTTCTAATTATTGCTATTTATTCATATTTGTTCTCTTTTATTCTTTAAAGTTTAACAATTCATTCTTAATCTTAATATCTTTTATATTTGCTTGGGGTTGGCTTTCTTCCCTTTCATCTTTTTTATTGTACAGCAATCTTTCTCCTCAAACCTACCACCACTCTCTTTTCTTTCCTTCTTACTTTCTCTTTCCCCACCCTCTTTTTCTCCTCCCTACTTCCTCTTCCTTTCTCCTTCTCCTCCTCTCTTCCTCCCTCTCTTACCCTCACTCCTACTCTAATTTCCATTCCTTCATCCCTCTCTATTGCTGTATCCTTTAATGCATATGGACTACTCAGAGGGCTGAAAAAGTTATTTTTGACTGGTCCTCACACTTTTGACCAGTCCTTGAACTTATGACTGTCCTCACATTTTACATTTTTGCCCTATCTTGTCACCATGTTGAAGAGAAGCAGTTGTGAAATGAGTGACATGGTTGTTAAGAATGCTGCATGGGCATAAATGTGAGGATGGTCATAAGTGTGAGGACCAGTCAAAAGTGCGAGGACCTGTCAGAAATGACTTTTTTCAGCCTTCTGGTTAATCCTTTTGTGCATATGGACTACTCAGAGGGCTGAAAAAGTTATTTTAACTGGTCCTCACACTTTTGACCAGTCCTCGAACTTACGACTGTCCTCACATTTTACATTTTTGCCCTATCTTGTCACCATGGTGAAGAGAAGCAGTTGTGAAATGAGTGACATGGTTGTTAAGAATACTGCACGGGCATAAATGTGAGGATGGTCATAAGTGTGAGGACCAGTCAAAAGTGTGAGGACCTGTCAGAAATGACTTTTCAGCCCTCTGAGTAGTCCCTATACACATAGCCATGGCCACCCGGTCACATGACCAGCTAGCCATGCCCACCCAGTCACATGGCCTCCAAGCCACGCCCACACAATAAGTCACGCCCACAATGGTGTCCTTCTTACCAATGTTAAAATCTGTTCACCTTACCCTAAAGACATAGCCATGGCCACCCGGTCACATGACCAGCTAGCCACGCCCACCCAGTCACATGGCCTCCAAGCCACGCCCACCCAGTCACATGACCAGATAGCCACACCCACAAAATAAGCCACGCCCACAATGTCCCTCTTTACCAATGTTAAAATCTGGTCACCTTACCCAATGGTTACCAATAAGTGTGAGAGCAGTGGTGGAATTCAAATTTTTTTACTATTGGTTCGGTGGGCATGGCTTGGTGGGCGTGGTGTGGCTTGGTGGGCATGGCAGGGAAAGGATACTGTAAAATCTCCATTCCCAGGTTAGGGTTGCCAGGTGTCGACTATTTGAGCGGACAGTCCGCTTTTTTCACATTATGTTCACTATTTTTTTTCACAAAATAGTGGACATTTTTTTTATTCAAAAGCTTTATGATGAAATGGTACGTAATCTAAAGCTGTACAGTCTAAGAGAATAAGGATAGGAGAATCGCGTTTTGTCTTTTTTTTCTTAAGTTAGAATGAGACAAAGATCGAATATCCATTGAACTCGATTCTCCGATGAGATTAAAATAAAAATATATTATAAAATTATGTACAGTTCACATTTTTAAAATGTATTGTAGCTTGTGTCAACTGACCTAAAATGGGGTGTTAAAATGTTTGTAAGAAAATATATAATTTAATTGTAATTTTTTTTTATTTTTTTACTACTTAATACCCCCCCCCCCCGCTTGTCTGCTATTTTTTGGAAGCAGATCTGGCAACCCTATCCCCACTCAAGGGAAGGATACTGCAAAATCTCCATTCCTTCCCATTCCTGAGGGAAAGATATTGCAAAATCTCCATTCCACCCCACTCTCGGGCCAGCCAGAGGTGGTATTTGCTGGTTCTCTGAACTACTCAAAATTTCCGCTACCGGTTCTCCAGAACCTGTCAGAACCTGCTGAATAGCACCCCTGTGTGAGAGCCACGTTCTAGGTCTTATAAGCTATCCAACAGCTCTTTCCAAGCTGATGCCCTGAGATACTTCAAATCCCACTGTCTCGGAGCAATACAAACTGTAGCTGTGTCTTGATGCTCCTAAGTGCTATTGAAATCTCTGAGTATATGCAGCTTGGGAGAAAATGGATTGAAAACATGCAAGGCCAGATGGAAGGACAAAACAATCTTTAAGCTTTCCTAGTTATTCTGACTTCAGATGAAAGCTTCCTGTTTATAAATTGTAGCCTTTTATTCTTTCCTGTTGAACAGAATAGAGAGTCAACTGAAAAGTGGCCTATTCATCACCGCTTGAAGGATGACTCAAAATCGGGCCAGTTTCTGTTGAGCTTAAGTGCTTTTTTTTTTTTTTTAGCTTTCTTGCCATTTTTAAATGATTTATATAATTGATTTATATGGCCACCCATCTCTCAATAGTGATTCTGGAGGCTTGCAACATTTAAAAACACACAAACCATAAAACATAGGAGCAGATGCAGCATCCAAAGAATTGGACCAGTCTAGAATAAGCACATCATGGGCTCCTGTTAATACTCCCTTCCTATAGATAACATCCATAGGAAAAGGCCAGTAATGGTATTCACTTATCTTTGCTACCGGTTCGCAATGGGAGTGCGAGTGCGCTCGCGTGTGCCACCTCTACACTTTCACAGAGTGTCTGTGACGACATGCGGGGGGAGGGCAGAGCCTCCTGCTGCCACCGCTACCAGTTCGCCCGAACAGGGGAGAACCAGTAGAATCCCACCACTGGAAAAGGCCCTTCCTAAAGTCCTTCAGAATTGAGCTAATCTAATCTTGGGAGCAACAGTATTCAATAGGACAGGGACAACAATGTAAAAAACTTCCGGGTCCTGCAAAAAGACATTCTTTAGCCAATATATTATATACTTGCATGGCAAGGAGATATGTTGAAAAAGTATAGTAATTAAGAGAGCCAGTTTACTGTTGTGGTTAAGGTGCTAGCCTAGAACTAGGAGGCTGTGAGTTCTAATCCCGTTTTAGGACCAAAAGCCAGTTGGGTGACCTTGGGTCAGTTGCCCTCTCTCAGCCAAACCAGCTCAAAATGTTGTTGTTGGGGAGAAATAGGAGGAAGAAGGAGTACGTTTGCTGTCTTGAGTAATAAAGATGGGATAAAAATTAAATACATATATATCAGTGGTGGGTTGCTCCCGGTTCGCACCGGTTCGCAAGAACCAGTAGTAAAAATTTTTAGTAGTTCGGAGAACCGGTAATAAGATTGGCTGGCCACGCCCCCGAACCGGTCCCTGGCCCAGTCGCCGCTCGCTTACCCCGCCCACCGCATCAGAGGCTTTTTTTTCTTTTACTTTTAAAAGCATTTTTTCTACAACCTCTTTGGCTGAAAAAATGCTTTTAAAAGTTAAAAAAAAAGCCTCTGATGATCGCGCGGCTCAGCTGAGATCGTCAGAGGCTTTTGAAAGCATTTTTTCTGCAACCTCTTCAGCCGAAGAGGTTGTAGGGAGAAAAATCCCTTTAAAAGCCTCTGGCAATCCCAGATCGTCAGAAGCTTCTAAAAGCATTTTTTTTCTGCAACCTCTTAAAGTTGTACAAAAAATGCTTTTAAAAGTAAAAGTAAAAAAAAAAAGTTGGTCACGCCCACTGTCACATTACCCCCAAGCCACGCCCACAAAATAAACCACGCCCACAGAACCGATAGTAAAAAATTTTAGAACCCACCCCTGATAGATAGATATAGATATAGATATAGATATATAGATATAGATATATAGTGCCACCACTGTATAAAATAACCTGGAGATATTCTGGAATACATTAATATTTCATGGAAGGAAGTTGCTTTAAAACAGAATTTGGAATTTGTGAAAAAACAACCACCTTCCCTTATTGAGCTAAACTCCCAGCATTGGGTCTTTGCCAATTAGGGCTGCTGGGAGAAGTCTTTCAACAGCATTGCAAGGTTCCCATTCCTTGATTTGAAGACTGATTTTATCCGTCCAGTTGCTTTCCAGTTCTTTTATCTTTATCATATATTTGTATGCACATCTCAGAAACAGTGCATTCACACATCACACTAAAAAGAAACCAGACATGTTATGTTATGATTTCCTTTGTTGGGTCAATAACATTTTGTATACTTGTTAATCACCCTTATACCAGGGGTGAAATCCAGCAGGTTCTGACAGGCTCTGGAGAACCAGTAGCAGAAATTTTGAGCAGTTTGGAGAACCGGCAAATACCACTCTGGCTGGCCCCAGAGTAGGGTGGGAATGGAGATTTTGCAGTATCCTTCCCCTGCCATGCTCACCAAGCCACGCCCACCAAGCCATGCCACGCCCACAGAACTGGTAGTAAAAAAAATTGGATTTCACCAACTTTGGCCCATTTCTGTTTTCAGGGGTTATGCGACAAGTAGAAGATCTGCTTGAAAAAACATATGTGAAAGACGAATCAGAGCTGCAGCCCTAGTCAATCCTGAATCTTTCAAGATGGAGTCCAGCTTTCAAAATGGAAACTAAGCCCCTGACAGTTAAGGTGGCCTTAAATTTGAGGAAGACTGTCCTGCATCAACGAGTCTACAACAGATAACTCTTCTTCTACAGCTCTTTCGGAATGTTAGCTGACCCCACCACAACCCATTTCTGCTTTTTGACAACCAGTCCTCATGAGAAAATATGCCTTAGAAAACACTAAATCATGGAAACGTTCTCTTGTTGAGGAGAACATAAAAGAAACTTCAGCTAGAAATAGATTGCAAACTCCCACTTCCTTGTTTATTTCTTCTGCATTTCCTCCCATATCAGAGTACTGCATTCATTTTGCTGTCTTGTTCAGAAGCCCCATTTTCCCACCGCCACTGCCTGCCCACCTAAAATGGGAAGCCCCATTCCTTAGCCGGTAAGAAAGGAGGAATAGAGTATAAGTTCAATTAACAATCCACAGAAAAGAAAACAAGACTGTAGCCCTACTATAATAAACTTCTCATTATCCCAGAACAGTTATGTTTACCTGAGTCCATCACACAATGAGACAGGTGACTATCCTGGAATAACAGCTTGTTATTTCAGTCTTGGACCCATTCCGTAGTCATTCTTTTCATCTTTCACAGAAATGGAGAGAGAACGGAGAGGTATTTCCCTTCTTTAAAAGCATTTAGTGTACAAAGCATAGGTACCACACACATCCGCTCTCAGAGAGGTGAATAGTTTCCTGTGGGCTCCTGCGTTGCTTATGTGCACCACAAAGCAGGAAGGAGGCTCCATTGCTGAATCGCAATACTCTCTTGCAAACAGAGAAACTGTCTTTATTGTAACATTTGTGTATATAAAACATATAGCCTTGCAACAAGTGTGATCTCGTTTAGATCAAGAAGACAGCCATTTCAATCCTAGGCACAGCAGTAAAGGTACCATAATCAGAGAAGGTTATGTCTAAGTAAACCCAAGATTATATGACATGGATAAAATTTATGCATACCGCCTTTGGTGTTCTGCTTCAAACTTATTTTTAACTGAACGTGCTTCTAACCAGATGGACCACAGAACATAAATCTTAGCTTGCTTGTCAGTTACTCAATTATCACTTCTTGATGTTAACCGAATTATTTCGCTTCTCAAAAAAAGCTATTTTTATTCATTTTTTTCTACCCACTGCTAAAATTCCCCTCTTGAAGCATTACCTTACACTTGTGACTTCCTGAGTTTCTATGACAGGGGTGTCAAACTCGCAACCTATGGGCCGGATGCATCACACACTGGCCACGTGCACCCCCATTTTAGCAAAGGGGTGGGGAAGTTGCGATATGTTACGTGACAACACGAGTTTGACACCCCTGTTTTATGAGGTAGTATAAAAATTAAAAACTGACCATATTACATTTAAAGAGAGGAAATGTACTCCTCATATAAAAATACTAAAAAACATTACCAGGTATTTGTTTTCTTTTAAAAATCTTTAGGCTGCCTTTAATACAAAAGCTCTTCCAAGATACATTATATCACATTATATTATACTGTTATCTATTTATTTATAAATAGATATAAGTCCACAATATAAGATTGTAAGTTTAAGATTTGTGTCTGTTAATTTTTGTATTTAATTTACAGTAATTTCCTTTTGATATCACTGTGTATTAGGTATATTACATTCACATGCTTACTGGCCTACTGATGGAATAGACATCCACCAATCTCTGGAAAAAAGCTATAATATTGGGAAAGGTGGAAAGAACTAGTATGACAACTAAAGTGGAAAGACTTAGTTACAGTGGCAAAGGGTGCATCCAGTGGTGGGATTCAAGTAATTTAACAACTGGTTCTCTGCCCTAATGATTTCTTCCAACAACCACTTTACCAAACTGCTCATAAAGTTAACAACCGGCTCTCCCAAAGTGGTGCGAACTGGCTGAATCCCACCACTGGGTGCATCACTAGAGAAACAGGTTAGGGGTAGATCTATATGATCAGAGTTGACATCACAGCATCTAATCAATCTGGTTACTAGCAGTTTTGCAAATTATAAATTCCTGTTAGGATATTAACTTTATTAATCCAACTGTAATTAGAAGAGTTTGCAAGCTTTCTGGTTTTTCATTACTCTTTCTTACGCAACATTCGAAAATCTTCGGAACTTCAAATTGATTTAATAAAAAAATATTTCTTGGTATTTTTTTCTCCTGGGCAAGCTGCTTTCGGCTTTATACTTAAATTACTACTGCTGAGTCTTCAATTGATAGTAGCTTTGCTGTTTAACTACTTAAATCAGTGTCAGTGTTTCTCAACCTTGGTAGCTTGAAGATGGGTGGACTTCAACTCCCAGAAACCCCCAGCCAGCGCTGCTTAAATGTTACAAATTTGGTCCAGATTTAGACCTGACTTGTTCTAGAACTATGGATTTCACATTAACTGCATTTTTAACGTTTTATTTTATTTTATTTTATTTATTTTATTTTATTTTATTTTATTTTATTTTATTTTTTTTTTATTTTATTTTATTTTATTTTATTTTATTTTATTATTTAACGTTTTATTAACCGCTTTATTATCCACAGGAGTTAACTCAACACAACTAGAGACAACACATGACGCCGCTCTACCCTCCCGCGAACAATCTGAGTGTAGTATTATTACGCAACATCCGGTTTTCCCTTTTTTTTTTTTTTGCCTCGGGCCTCGTCCTTCAAAACTTCCGGTTGGGTAGGCAATGCGTGTCGGGATTGGTAGTCCCAAAGGGTGCGGTCTTGGTGCGCGGCTGAGGGAGAGAGGATGTGCTCGAGCGCGCAGGCCCCAAAGTGGGCGTGAGGGGGTTGGGTGGGAGGCGGGACCCGTTTCCAACGGCGACGTAAGGCGGGAGAGGGCGGGGACGGGGAGTGGGCCTTAATGTCAGGGCCGGCTTCGTTGCATCAGCTGGGGACGAAGCGTGGCTGGGAAGCAGAGGGAGGACGGAGCATGAAGCTGTGCCTGAGCGAAGGCAGCCTTGGTGGGCTGAAGGTCTTGGCGGCTGCCAAAGCCACCGGCGCGCCCGTGGAGGTGCAGTGGCTTCCGCAAGAGGGTGAGTGCCAGGAGGGCGGTAATTCCCCCAAGAAACGGCAGCTTTTCCTCGCAGGGTCCGCCGGGCGTGCGAAAAATCTTACTTTTTTTTTTTTTTTTTTTTAAATTGCAAGATCTCCAATCCTAGAGATCTGGGTATTTAAAATTCGTGGCAGCGAGCAACAGAATTAATAAAGTATTTTTTTCCCCTCGTCTTTAGGATTTTTCCTTTAGTCCTTTCTCCCTTTGCACCCACTATGTCCTTTTAATTTCCCTGCTCCCCTATGACTTCCCTTGGTTTTGGGATGGACTCTATGCACTTTTGGGCTTTCTGAACACCTGGATGAGAGTGGAGAATCTCAACCTGCATTCGTCATGATTCACTCAGAAGTAGCAAGTGGTGGATTGATTGGACTAAATATAAGTGAATTTAGCAAGTGTATTCCCATATATAAGGAATTTATAAGGAAGAATTAGAATTGGAAGGGACCTTGGAAGACCACAACTCTCTACTTAAGCAGGAGATCCCATGCCATTCCCGACAAATGGCTGTTCAGTTTCTTCTTATTCATCAAGTATTTTTGAGGGGGTGGCAAGACTTTGCTATTTTTCTTTCCTGTCATCTCTTTTTGACAAGGCCTCCATATTTAAATAGTAGCATCCTATGGACAACATTACTTGGTCTGCTGTCTGGATGCTTGGGTGGTTTAGGGGTGGGGAATTTTTGGTGGTGGGTGGGTGTCTGGGGATTGTCATGTGTGTTGGGCTTGGTCTCTGGGTGTTATATGAATTTCGTTTTATGGGTATACTGTGTATATACGTACAATGAATATATATATATATATATATGAAAAGAATGTAAATCTCGGGTGTTTTCCCGCATCATGTTAAATAAGTTAGTTAAAATGTTTAAAATTCTAACTTATAACTAACTAACTTATTTAACATGATGCGGGAAAACACCCGAGATTTTTGCATATACACACGCGCGAAAACTTAAGAAGACATATATATATAAATATGTGTGTGTGTGTGTGTGTGTGTGTATGCAGAAATTTGATAAACCCTTATGGTTTTTTTTTTTTAAATTTATTTATTTATATGCCGCCCTTCTTCGGAGACTCAGGGCGGCGTACAATGTGCTAAGCAATATGTAGTAATTTTTGCCTTAGAAAACAAATTTGCCAAATTTGGGGGCAGCATTTTCAATCTTCAAGAAGAAAGGAGAAAATGGTCTTTTCAAGTAAAAGTAACCATGTTCTGTCAACCCCCTGCTCTGTATGTATGCACAGCATAGTATATATGCACAATATAAGCACACACTGCTGCTATTATGCCATCTTAACACATGCTGTAATAAATAGGATCAGATTTGAGAATGCAAATAAAATTTCTCCCTAATTTGTTTTTCTTCTTCTCTGACAGCTCATGTAGTACCATTCCTCACCCGTCCTCAGCTGCCAGCTCTACAGCTGGAAAATGGATCCTTCCTCTTCTCCACAAATGTAATTTCTCAGTAAGTAAAGGAGTGTTGATCATTCTGCTTCCAGGGTAAACTTCTGGCAAAACCTAATGTGATTGTAATGCTAGATAAACACTAAAGGCATGTAGGAGCAGCACTGAATTAGAAGAAAAAGAGATGCTAATAAAGGATCATGTAGAAACTGTCTTTGTACTACATAAACATTTGGGTTATAATTTGGAAAGCTATTTTCACATGTCCGGCTACCTATTGGTAATTTTCCTATAATGTCAATCAACCTAAAGCATGCTAAGTAATAGAGACTTGGCATCATTGCCAGATATTTAATGTGATCTTTTTTTGCCATAGAAATAGATAGTTGTAATTCAAGAAATTAATGGCAATTTAAGAAATTAATATATATTTAATATAAGAAAATGCAGGGAGTCCTCGACTTACACCACAACTGAGCCCAAAATTTCTGTTGCTAAGCGAGACAGTTATTAAGTGAATTTTGCCACATTTTACGACTTTTCTTGCCACAATTGTTAAGTGAATCACCGCAGTTGTTAAGTTAGTCACACGGTTGTTAAGTGAATCTGGCTTCCCCATTGACTTTGCTTGTCAGAAGGTCACAAAATGTGATCAGATGACCCCTGAACACTACAACTATCATAAAAATGAATCGATTGCCAAGTGTCTGAATTTTGATCACATGATCATGCAGGGATAAGTGTGGAAAAACAGCCTTAAATCACATTTTTCAGTGCTGTTATAATTTCAGTGCTGTCATTAAATGAACTGGGGTAAGTCAAGGACTAGGTGTGTGGAGAATCAAGCATGCTTCTCTTTTCTCAGTATTTGCCATGATTTCTGTTTCCATCACCCAAAAGGTGATGGGAAATTGAAATAGAGAAAGAAGGTAAGGGTGCCTTTTCCTATTCTCAGTTCTTTGGAACTGGAAGGAAAATCTTCTGCTCTTCCCACACTGCCCTGGTAATTGATTAACTTGTATAGGGGATAACAATGGTATACATTTTAAAACCTCAGCCAATAAATGTTATGTAGGGCTGCCTCTACTATGAGTCAACTGCCTCACCAGCCAATACTAGAAAGCAGAAAGTACAATGAGATATTGTTGGTAGCAAGCTGGACAGTTTTGTTCTTCTTAACCTACCTTGCTGTTCTTGGATAAAATGAATCATT